AAAAAAAAAAAAATAAAAAAAAAAAACACATCATAGTAAAATTAATACCTTCTCAGCTTCGCATCGAAGCTAAAAGTCACGATTTTTTTTTTATAATAGCTTGTCAGTTAACATTTTTTTGTGTCCCTTCACTCTTACAATGAATTTCTAAATAATCCTTTCAGTTTAATTTTTTTATTGCATCACAAATAAAAACTGCAGTTAATCAAAAATGTAATTATAATAATATAACTTTTTATAATAATAATATAATGTTTTTAAAGTTATTTTATCAATTAGGAGGAGTACAAAACTAGGTCCTTTTTTTTTTTTGTTGACTCTTATTACTCTTGGATCCGGGAACATGGTCCCCATAACTCCCTTTAATCTAAGCCTAGTACTCAAGTGATTTAATAAAATTTTTATTTATACAAATCCTATTTTTCATTTTTTTTATATGTTGAAAGAAATAGTGGAATATAATTAATGTGATGGGAACATAACTTGATAATGGTATATGTTAAATTATAATTTTTCATTAACTACTATTTCTTAAACTAAATTTAAAATATTATTCTATGTAGCTTCATTATTGTTAATTTCCTTGTTCTATTATATTATTGTTAATTCATAGTAATACGTTGTTCAAAAATGTAAACGAAAAAATAAGATTATTGTGACACTCTTTGCATATAAATCAATACTGTTTGACAAATTATTTGTGCTTTATCAGTGAAAATAACTTATTATGTTATCTTGTTTTTCATGGCTTATATTTAGAACTTTGCTTAGAGTACACAAAATATATATTTGACTGATTTAAATAAACAAACAATACACTAGTTAACTTCAAAAATAGTTTCTCTGGACAAATTTGATTAATGTAATTCAAAAGACATTAAAAATTTAATAATCTTCAAAAGTACTTCAACGATAGACAATATTCTTATTTTTGAGTTAATTTAAAAAATCATTAAAGAAAGAAGTTAATTTCGAATAAAAAATTTTGTTAAAACAATTAACTTAACACTTAAAACTCAAAGAGATAATTAATAACGCCAAAGAAACGGATCTCTTTATTATATATATATATATATAGAGTGATCAAAATCTGCAAAAACACTTGGGTGTAAACACTTAAGTAAAGAAATTGAATTAATATAATTCGATAGGAAGTGCGCACAATGGACATACAGGTCTGTATGCATTAGCAGTGTCTGTCCACCTCTTTAACAACTAAAACTAACTAAATTAATAAATTTACAGTCTAGAAGTGATTCACACTATACGGAACGTCGACATCACGTTTCAGATCGGCAGTGTCACGACAAAATATCTAATCATGTATTTATATCGTATTGTTCACATACACCGGCCACGTTACGTAACGTCAACATCACATAACTACTTAATTAAACATTTTGGCGTGACGTTGACGTTCTGTATAACGTGAATCGACTTTTAGTACAAAACTAGCGTAAAATTAGTAGATTGAACATTTTAATTTAATCTAGTATATTGTAACCTTATACTTACCAAATGAAATTATATTTATCAATAATGTTCTATAATGTAATATAAAAATGATTATGGACATTTCTTATAAATCCTCTTGTAAAAATTTTACGTCAGTTATTTTAAACGTTAAATAAATTGGTGATAACTCATTTAGCCATCGAAACATTGTCGTAACAATAACACAGAAGTTTGGAGGGGAATCTGTTACAGTTCTGCCGAACAATAGTAACATGTTCACAGAAATTTAGTAATAATTGGACATTGGATTTATATGTTTTTTAAAAATATTGTCAAGTTATTCCAAACACATCATTAGCTAATACAAATTGTTATTAATAGGATTTAACTAGATTTAACTAGAATTATAGCATTGTTGGGGGTCAGAGGGTTTATTCCCCTCTAACGAAAAGTATTTCTGCGCTACGATTTATTTCTATAACACATTGTATACAAACTTTGTTTCTTTTAAAGTGGCTCCAATAAAATTTATAAATGCATATAAATCGGGCCTCTAGTTATAACTAGTAAGTCTAAAGTTATGTCTCTTATTCCTATCTACGTATCAGGATATTCATCTCTATAAATAAATTTTACATAATTTTCAATGAGTATTTATATGTACTTATCAATACAAAATAATTATGTAAACTTAAACAATTACCAGTAGAATACCAATATAAAGTAATCTATTTATTTTTATTTGTTTTTTAGGTTTAGACCCTATAAAAATGGCAAACGAAAATTTTATTGAAATATTATTAAATGTGGGTAATTTACAAAATTCTTTAGCACATGCCACTCTCCCTGTTAATGTTATTCAAAATTTCATTCAGTATGATAATTCTAAATTTGATCTTGTTTTTATATTTTCATTTGGACAAACATATTGTGTTACTCTTGGACACAAATACAACGCACCAGTGATTATGTTGAACGTTGTTATGTTATGGCAAGTCAATAGCAAATGGATTGGCGAACCTTACACTTACTCTTATATTCCTGACCCTAGAATTAGGACAACTGACAAAATGTCGTTCATGGATAAGTTAAAAAACACATTAGTCGGAATTATACAACTCTTTTTTACTGACTATTACAATCTTTCTGAGCATAAAAAAATTATGAATGCATACTTCAGATACTCGGGTTGGGAACAAAGACCTTCATTGGAAGATATGTTACATAATATTTCATTGACTTTAATAAATGCTCATTACACAGTTGGCCTAACGAGGCCTTATCTACCCGGAACAGTTGAAATTGGAGGACTTCATGTAAAGGAGCCTAAAAAGTTATCTAGTGTAAGTATGAAACAAATTAAATAGAATACCAATAAATATATGGTAAAGTGGGATAAGTTGACAAATGTAGAATGATAATGAATTCAGTGTTTCTCAAAGTAAATCACAAATAGCAACACATCCTTACTAGAAGGGGTCTATATTTTTTTGGACATGGATATCGTTTCGATATTTATTCACAATATCGAAAATAATCCGACGTCGCAATAAATCGATGATCAACAATAATTGTTATTGTAATTATTACATAAAATCAATTGTAGTACTGCATTATAGTGATAGACATAATCGAACAATTTCTATAATTCGATAATTGAAAAATTAAATTTCATCAATTACACTATATCAATAAAAGTAATCCATAATTTAGGTTTTTAATAATATGAAATAATCAATATAAATCATGATAGAACGACAGTAATTGGTAGTTTTTACCATTTTCTTATATTATTATCTTACTATATGATAAAAAATTGAAAAATTAGACAATGCTTAAAAAATTACTTAACGATGTCTGATTTTCAAAAATTGGTGAATGTTCAATTAAAGATATGATTGCGCATGTAAATTTTGTTTAAATTTTATGATAGTCTACGTAGTGTTCACTAACATCAAGGCTTTTAAAGGCTGTTTTTAACGATTATTAAGTTTCCTTTCGCCTACCTATTGTTTTGAGTAATAATTAGTAGGTTATTATGAAATATAATTGTGAATACACCTAAGTATTTTGTAGTTGTATAATTAAGAATTTAATTTACGGGTGGGATTATTTTTCTGGTAAACTGCTTTTGGAGTTTTACTTTTTTTTACACATATTAAAATTTTAGAGTACTCCTATCACTAATGTTAGCTCGAAGGCCCTAACACCTAGTAGGTGCGTGAAGTCCGCAAGGTACAGAGTCTGGGCCATAGTCTCAGTTAGTTGAACCCAATTTTTTAGATTATTTATTTAATTTTATAAAATATATTAAAAATAGTAAAGAATAAATGTATTAATAGTTGTTTAGAACACATTATTTTTATAAAATGTTTTATTACAACACATAGTAGCTTAGTGCTTAGAAATAGGTAAAATGAAATGAATCGGCCGTTAGATTTCTATAAATTGTGTCATACATTAAACTATCATCTTATTACTTGATTTTTAAAATAAACTATCATAAATAAATGAGTCAAAAATCTATTATTAATATGATTGTAGTTGTAATATTCGAATTTTTGGTTATTTTCATTCGATTATGACTATCACTAACACATTATGGGGGGTCTAAATATTAGATAAATCGCCAAGTAACTGGAAAATTTGCATTACATAAAATTTTATTAACACTCTTATATTAGTTTCATCTGTATGTATGTATGTGTGTATGTGTGTATGTATGTATGCTTGTATGTATGTATGTTTGTATGTATGTATGTATGTATGTTTGTAACTCTCCTCGCGCCACGCGTTATCGCATATTCGGTCGTCTATGGCCTAGAGACTAGAATGTCATAACGCATACACCCCACCCCACGCCCCGCTCACCTTACGATGGCAAAACTATTTATTTATATTTAAATTTATTTTTGGGTATCGTACCCGTACACGCGTCTTGTCATCAATATTATCCGATACCAATACCATCCGCGTGCCATACAGCTTTCGTATATATTCCTACCGCCGTTTATACCTCAAGTATAACGTTAGTCCGACCCGCCCGCCCGCCCATAAAACACGGCTATACCTAGT